CCGGAGACTGAGGGGGTTGACTGAGACCTGCGCGACGGGAGCAGGCGACGTGCAGTGGCGACGCGCCAACTGCGACGACGGCTGATGTACGCCGTCATGCCGCCCGTGCATTCAAGGCGGTGGAAAATAACGAAAAGTAGAGGGCGAAAAGCCTGTGTATAAACTAGAATTTTTTCCCCGTTTGATTAGGCCGCCATATTTCAATCCAGTTCAATGGCCCCGCACCGTCCTCGATTCACGGTATATTTTAACAGTAATTAAAATGCAATTTGATTACTTTTGTAACTATAACTAGATGGATTTGTAAAAATAAAGATATACAAGTTTTTTTTTTTTTTTTTTTTTTTAGCTTTACAGATTAGTTTAAAAACAGCCGTGAAAGCTACTTATACAGTTTGTGCAGGTGAGTTATACGGCCAGGAAACATATATAGTATAAAGGGTTAATCATAACGATCAGTCGGCTAATGAAGTAAAATATGTTAATTAACTCGTGACTGCCTGGAGCTGAGCCGGTTGGTATGCGGTTGGTATGCGGCGGTGGTCAGATCCGCCAGCAGTGTGTGTCTCTTTATCTCCACTCCTTGGATTTTTCCTTCCACGTTCAGCTGGAAACCTTCAGAATCACGTTAATTAACGTTCTAATTAGTGAAAATAGACATACGGTCTCAAGGAGAAACTTGCGGAGCGTCATCGAGAACCATTAAATCAGTCATTTTTAAAAATACCTCGAGCGCGTGAGAAGAGCATTACTGAGCTAGAGTCACCACTCGTGCAGCAGGTACAAGGCTACCGGTGCAATAACGCGACCGCGCGATTTTTCTGTCTCTTATCATAGCTCCAGCCTTGTGGTACCTGTTGCCCGAAAGACGCCTTTAGCGCACCAATACGCTTTCCATGCGCTCAAAGTCTTTCTGAAAATTACTGATTTAGTGGTTTTCGATGACGCTCAGCAAGTTTCTAATAGGAACCATGTGTCTCTTTTCGCTAATTAAAAAGTTAATTAACAAATTTCAGTTACTTAGCCGACTGATCGTTACGATTAACCCACACACCATGTCCCCCTGGCCGTATAACCCACCTGCACAAACCGCATAAGTGTAGCTTTCACGGCTTTGTTTTTTTGTTTTTTTTTTGTCCTATTTTAATTAGTGCCATTTTTAGAAAAAAAAAACTCCTACTTTAAATAAAGCAACTGTAACTTCATTAATTTTTAGAGTAGCTTCTACGACTCTGCCCGCATACCATCAGTGTTTCTTTGCTTACAAATTGGCTAATTGGGAGAAAGGAAGCACATATTAAAGAAATGCAACGGTCCGACAGCTCTTTTTGCCGCCTTGTGCTCCAACTATATATAATACGAGATTATCGGACGGTTTCACAGCAAATAACGAAGAAAAATTAACACAAACTTATCTATCCACTCATGTCCTCTTGCATCACGCTAGATGAGTGGCGCTGACTCAGAGATGGCTTTCGCCGAAGCTTCGCGCGTCAAGCTATATGCGCAGTGCAAACACAGTTGGTCCTTACTTCGTCACCTCTAGGACCTTTTCTTTTTTTTTTTTTTGCCTGCATATTAACGGTTACTACAATTCCCAGAAGTCCTAAATTTTGGCCAGCGTCGTAACCCCACCCCCTTTTCACTTTTTCCCTAAAAAAAATCAAGTAATGTGTATTAACTCGATTACACTCCAACTTTACTATAATTTTTTTTCGAAAATATAATTTTATCGCAATTACACCCGCTGTGCTCCGAAAGTAGTCAACTAGAATTACTGGTGCCCAAAAATGAATTCATTACAATTACGGATTACAGATATTTCAATGTCGCTGATATAACAGCATTTCTCCGCAATGAAATGTATTTGTCCATTCCTTGCCTCACCGCTGAATTCCACCAACCCTACGAATTCAACGTTGAATTCTGCGTGTGATTGGAGCCTGAAGTTGTATTATTCTGCAACACTGGCAACATTGCTGGTGTTCTTTTTACTGCGGCAATACAAAGTAAAAGGGATCTACTAATACTGTAGTTAGGCACTAAGAAATAGTACACAGTCCCAAAGTCGGAATTTCAAGAGTTAACATTCTCAGTGATGTGATTGCTCGGAGTCATTTTGAAGCACCTTTTGGAGCAGTAAAGATAAAGTTTGTAGCATAAGCACCACACTTCATCTTTCTTCATACCACTGCAAAGATTGTGTTAAAATTGGCGTGTTGGCCTGTCGAACTGGAAGTTTGCCTTCCCACTTTTGTGAAACCTTTTCTTAGCATCTGTGGCATGGTAGGTTTGATTCCTCCGAACACAAAACAAGCTGCTTAGTTGTGCGCAGAAAGAAAAAAAAAAACACAACACGATGACATTTTATGAATGACAGTATGAATTGCAGTACGTAGTTATTTTAGGTACAGAATCAATGATAAAACAAATAGTATATTCCACTGAAATAATGTTCAAATATAATAATTTAGTGCACCCATACTGATGGTGTGTTCAAATACTGAAAACTATAATAGCACTTCTTCAGTGAGATTAAAAAAATGTGTTCGTATTTTATTGTGGACATTAATAACATTTTATATGTAGAATTCATAATAACAAAAATTGGCGCGTGAATGATAAATATATGCCCTCTTAAAAACATCACCAAATTCGTTAATGTTGTCTTTAAATTTCCATCCCCTGCTTTAGATATTTTAGCTTTACTGTACTCTTGACTGTGCCATCGAACAGATATAAAGCCATTTAAAGATAATAACCAAACAAGAGATAGACATAAAAAATAAACCTATAAATCATTCCATTAAACCTTAGCAATACTCAATTATCTTAGCTAAATCTCGAACTTTAAGATATCGTCAGAATACTGCAGTCTATTATACTATGTATAATAGCCACTGCTTTATTCAGAAATTGTACGTCACGTCCGGCCTTGAAAGGGTGCCTTCCCCTTGGCATACGGGTGCACCGTGGCGAAACAAGATACGCAGAATCCGGATGTCTATTTTGCGGTTTTCGCTTCACTGCAGTGCACCTGTGGGTTGTGAGAAGCGCACTCAACGAAGCTATTAGATAGACTGCTCAAGTCAAGAAGGTAGGAGAAGCTCCTCCCACAAGTGTGATGCGCCCGTTTCAAATCTCTCCGCAGTCGAAAGAAGAGTTCACTGGAAACGCTCCTTGTTCCGTTTCAATGGATTCCCACTTGTCTCCGATCCCACTTTTTAAGAAAGCGACCTTTGTATTCATCGGAGAGGGAACCGAGCCCCTGAGTGCAGCCTTTGTATCCATCGGGGGGGAAGCTAATCCCCGAAAGTCGTATTTGTTTCCGTCGGTGGGGGGAACTCTAATCTCCCTCTCGTGGCTTCCACAATGCTAAGTCAGAGTCGAAAGATAAAGCAAATATGTACAGAAAGGCAAGACCCTCCTCGCGCGTTGGCCGCGACGTCACGGAAACGGTGGGACGCTATTGGATGCGGAGGTGGCGGAGGGATATCCGATTTCCTTTGAGGGGCATTTGCCGCTACCTTCTTAACCTGTAACTGACTATAGAACAAACCAGGCACGTAACAGATATTGCGGAACTTACGAGTACTGTCAGTGTTTGATAGAAATCAATTCAAATAGTACATTTGACGCTAAAATCAAAAGTTCTGATAACCCGCACGAGCCTATCGTAGGCTCGTGCGGTGTAGCGAGGCCTCAAATATTATATTCTAAGTGACATTGACTTTCGGCGCAAAGTTAGCGCAAATTTCTCAAATTTGGGCAACATGTGCAGTATGCAGCGAGGTAAGCATTTTGGCGCCAATGGCGCAGTAATCACACCACCGCATTCTGGAAACGACCGACTCGAACCGTGATAGCAAATTCAATATGCAGATTCTACAATCAAATTCTTTATATTTTTTTTTTTTTTTTTTTTTGCACCAGACCATTTTACCAATTTTCGTGCTCGCTTCCTTTGCGTTGTCCATTTACATGTGCAGCACCTGGCACTGACGGTTGACCAGCTGTGCTTACGAGGTCGGTGCATAGGCACAGTCTTGGCGCTTCCACAAGCTGGCAGAATATCAGCAGAAGCCGACGCCCAACACATTTCTGTCGTGTCAGTGGCTCCAGCGAAGGGAGCTCGACAGTGACAAGATACTGCGATGACTGATGCTAAAACGTAGTTGAATTACCGTTAGTGTTGTCATTAGCCAAATGTAATAATTAGAACTTCGCATATGTTACTAAACAATCAAGTAACTAATTTAACTACTATCCAAGCATGCAAAAGCCGCACATATTTTTTCTGCCAACTCACAGAGCAAAGAGTTCAGAGTCTGAAAACGCCCCGTGCCAGTTTGTTCGCGTAGTGGCATGCAAGCGTAACTTACAGGGTAGAGTATTGGACAAAATGGGCTTCGGTCCCTAATAACTAAACGGAGGTTGTCGAAGCATCATAACAAATATATATTTGTATGTTTTTTTAGGAAAGGGGGGGGAGGGGGGGGGGGGGTGAAGCCCCATAAGTTTACCCCCGCCCGTTAGCATTCATCTATCCACCCCTAGCTGCGCCACCGCTTCAAGGTCAGATCACTTCGCTCGTGCAATGCGAACCCCACCTCCGCATAAAGTTTTCCTCTAGAATTCTATGCTTCTTCACGTGACCAAGACAGCGACTTGTGATTATCAGACTTAGTGTCATGCCATATCTCATGCCAGCTTTTATTGTCGCTCCATTGAAAGAGTATCAATCAGGATTGCGAAGCTGGAAGCAAAGCCCTGCCGTACGATCAAACTCGCTGCGCCGCAAAATTGAAGCGGCACTTGGGTCCGCGCGATTAACAAGGGGTGGGTGAAAGAAAACATCCCCAAGCAACACGCTGCCGTGCTGTTAATATTTTACGCAATCAGCTTCGGACGTGTTATTTGTTTTGGTAAGCCAGCCCTGCAGGCCAGCGGGTTGGGGTTGCAAGCAATCGTAGATAATGCGTCAGAAGTCACAGAAATACCTCAGGTTCCTCCCTGAATCCTCGAGCGGGCTTGCTTTGGGCTCGGCTCGAGTAACGTGAATCTTGTGTCGCTCATGTTTTGTCTCCGTGAGACCGGCAAAACACCTATTCTTAGAGAACCGCTGACCCAGTCAGCTGGGCAGCCCTTGGAAAAACGTTGTCGGGCCAGTTCCGCAGATCTTGGCAGTTTGCAGAACCCGTGGCGCCATCATATAGCAGCGCATGACACTAATAAAACTCTTTAGACTTTGGTTCGTAAAATTACCGTATTATGGCGCAAGTCACCGCCCGACTTAAAAAGTCCGGCCACACGTATTTACCTCTTGCATTTGGAAGCACGACGTAGTTTCGTTTTAGCTGCACGCCTGCAGCATGCCGTTTTATTAACACTCCCTTGATTTGACAGGGCGCACAACTATTCTACAACTATTAATCCTTTTTACAAATTTCAAAATTCCAACCTCTTCATTTTTTCCTGGAATATCGTTTAAATTTTTAGTTCTGATGTAATATTTTTATTGTTCTTTTTACCTAGACTACCTAGTTTTCAGTGCTATTCAAGTTTATGAAGCCTCTAACATTAAAAAAATGCATTTATGAGGCAAACTCATTTTCCGCATAAACTCTTTCTTCCCTCTTGGCAGTGGGCCAGCTGTTGGATATCTGAAGATAGAACCTTGATGTCACAATACATGTACAGTGCTGCTGAACACACCATTAGAAAATCACAATAAGAATGAAATAAAGTATGGGGAAAAACATAATTCACAACAGCCAGCTGCAGCTTCAAGTATCTTTCATGAAAGCAGACATTTGAGCAATGCTGAAAAACACAACATGGCATTTTATGACCTTCAAGTACCTGTAAGACCAAATAGTAATCCGGTCGTTAATTTGCAAAATGTAACAATAATACATTAGGATGCAAGGACGATGTTGAAATAAACAAGTACTTTATTTCACACAGAGACGTGAAGTACTCGTGAGATGCATATTTTGAGCATAAAATTAAGGGACAACAGAATTCACAAAAATGTACATTCGTTGGTCTTGGCTGCACTACTGATAGTACAGCTCCAGGTTCATTCCATCATGGATCTCATCTGATAGAAAATTGTCAAGGTTTCAGTCAACATAGAAAGTTGCAAAAGCGATATGGGAGATGCAGGCACAGTGCAGTCTTTAAATAAATACAAATAAAAGCATGGTGTAAGTGTGGTGCAAGGAATAAGAATGCCACCCTCTTCCAGCATGCCCAGAGAATAATGGCAGCTTATACATTTTTTAAGTGAAAACAGCCAGTCAGGAGTGAAAAAGATAACTGCTAACAATATGTGCATGAACAGCCCACCATGTTCATTGGGCACTCCTGCCAGTCTTTATAAAGACACTCTGATCCAAACTAGGGCTAGAGCTCTACATTTAGGCTCCAGTCTCTAAACTATTTCACAAATCAAAAGATAATGGGGAATGTGGGGACCAAACTCACAGCAAAAGGCCAGATCGAGGGTTGTCGCTCATATTGCGTGTGCATGCGCCACTGCCATGTAACTATGCAGTAATCTCCAATATGAAAAAGTAAGCTGCCCTGTGCAACATATGTACTGCATGAAATCAAGCCAGGTCAAAAGTTTATAAATAGTATTAACTCGTGAAAAGAACAGGATATTAGAAAAGCTATTCGTGCAAGGCTACATTTACACCATGTCCTATTTCTGCGCGCAAACTGTTCGTTTATGATCTAAACTTTTCACAAGGGTGAATTCTAAGGCAGACTACATTAATTTGACTGGTAGCATGCTTCATCAATGTCAGTCACCAACTCAAAGATTTTCACTCGTCATTGAAGGCACTTCTGACATTGTTGGGGGCCACCCAGTTTCCGTTATAATATCACAAAATTATGACTACCAATGAAGCAAGCATTTCCAGTACCCAAGTACATCTTTTACCTCAATACAAAGTAGCACTCAATTACACTTCTTTCGGATTTAGACAGGAGAGTAATATACAACAAAGTGTTGTTCCATCCATACTAACCTGCAGGATGCATTAATCTATAAACCGTTTTAGTAACGAACCATGCAGTTTAGTTTGCCAGACTAGAGATGTTACCATGCACAAGACCATATACTATGAATAATCAAAACAGTGCAGCAAAATAGATCAAAACACCTATCCCTTTACAATCAGATTGTGCTTGGCCAGATAATTCCAAGAGCCTTTTTCGAGGGAAAGGGTTAGTGTAATCACAGATGTTCATACTATCATCAAGCAGACAGGGGGTAAAGATGGAAGCAGAACGCAGCAGATCCTGAGCACACTTCGGTGGTCCCACCAGAAACGACTTGACCAAAAAAAAAAAAAAAGCGGGAAAAGAAAGCAGAAGAAACGTGAGGCATGTTTGTTTTGCTGTAATGAGTTGAAATTGTTTGAGTGCTAGTCAATTTTATTTATTTTTGCACAATGCGCAATGCCAGTGTTTTTTTGTTTGTCTCAAATTAAGTTAGAAAAAGAGCTGGATACAGAACCTTACAGGTGATGTTTTGCTGCTTATGTCTCTATATTAAGGAGTCGCAAGCAATATGGGCCCATCGGGACCACCCACTGGGAACACCGACGTCCGCATCTATGTCCCGCCGTTCCGAAGTGCCAGGTAGGTCAATATACTCGCTCTACGCACGCAGAAGGCATCTATGCTCATTAAACCACCCCTTTTTCACCCTCGCAACATTACCACATCTATTGCCAAGTTGGCAGAGCATGTGGCTTCCATGCCGAGTTCCTGGGTTCAATCCCGGCAGCCTGCCTCTATTTTTACTGTTTGTTAGTTCTACCGGAACGGTCCAGTTTAATTAAACAAGTTCTCACTTGCTCTGGTCTAGAATTCGGCATACTGGCATACCGTCTTTGCCTACTGGCAAAGACGGTATGCCAGTAGGCGGCGATGGCGCGAGCTCGGCGCGTACCACGCTGCCAGAGCTCGCGCAGTGCTCGCGATCGGCTCGGACTGATTATTAAAAATGGAGCCTTTCATCTGGAACGACCTGGTCTCGGCTCTCTCGTTCGCGATTTAACATTGGCGACGAGGATACTGGTTACCTGTCGTCGGAGGTCATCGGCATCTCACGAAGGAACGGGGACCTGGATCACGGCTACCACGGTGCTAAGCCAAGAACCCGCAGCGAGCAGCGGGAAGAGCCACTGCTGAAAGGACCCCAAGGAAATAGTATGTGCAGCGCTTCTCTCTACTTCTCAACGTAGTGAACGTCGCAGTGTACGAAAATGCCACACCTTGGGAAGGTGCTAGAATTCAACGAGGCCTCTCAGAGTTTCGAGACGTACGTTGAGCGTTTTGAGCTTTTCGTCGCTGCGAACAGCATCAAAGAAGAAAAAAAGGCAGTAACATTCCTAACAGTCATCGGCGATCGAACATACGAAGTCCTCAAAAACCTAGCAGCCCCAGACTTGCCAGGCTCTAAAACGTACAGCGAGATAAAGACTCTATTAGAGGAGCACTACGGCCCGCAACGGTCTGTAATAGCCGAACGCTGTAGGTTCAACCAACGGAGTCGGCTAGAACATGAATCCGTGGAGGATTTCATTTTGGCCCTGAAGAGTTTGTCTCGATTTTGCAATTTCGGAACATTTTTGCAAAGTGCTCTCAGGGACAGGCTGGTAGCTGGCCTGAGGGACGAAGAAACTCAGAAGGAACTGTTTGCGTTTGCTGAAGAAAAGCTAACTTTCGCAGTCGCTTGCAAGATAGCGCGGGAAAAAGAAGCAGCAGTAAAACAAACGGTGGACATGCACAAAGAATCCAAAGCAGTGAACGCTATTCATAAAAATGTGTCACCTCCTGAGAACAGAGGTCATGGGAGAAGCACGTCTCATGATCATGGGTACAGTACTTCGCAAACAATTTGCTATCGTTGCGGAAATGAGCATGAACCCCGCGAATGTCGTTTTAAAACATATCGCTGCAAGATCTGCTACAAGACTGGACATCTCCGGAAGATGTGTCACAACACGCCTGGAAAGACTCCAGAGCGCAACGTTCAAATCCTTGAAGAGTCTGATGATGAGGATGAAGACCTACTGACCGTGTACACGTGTATGAAATCTTCACCGGGATTTCAAGTTTTCGTAGAGGTGGACAGAGTTCCTCTACTCATGTTGATCGACACGGGAGCGGCGGTCTCAATCATACCAGAAGAAGTTTTTATTAAACACTTTCCCCAGGAAGAGCTCCTGGAAACCAAAGTAGCTCTCCGCACTTACTCTGGTGAGCGGCTGTCGGTAAAAGGGAAGATCTCAGTCAAAGTCCAATATAACGGGCAAAAGGAAACACTCGACTTGTTTGTAGTAGCTAGCGAAGGTCGAAGTCCACCAGTGCTCCTAGGTCGCGACTGGCTCCGGAAGCTGAAGCTGGACTGGACGGCTATCTGCAGCATCACTGTTCAAGACCAAGTGGAACAGCTTCGAAAGAAGTATCCGAACGTCTTCGACAGTTCCCCTGGCATGGTACAAGATTATCAGGCACAGGTTGTCATCAAGGAAAACAGCACTCCAGTCTTTTGCAAGGCACGTCCTGTTCCTCTGCCCCTCAAGGAAGCGGTGACAGCACAACTGCGAAAGCTTGAAAAAGGTGGCATATTGCGTCACGTTTCTCAAAGCGACTGGGCCACTCCTTTAGTTGTGGTACCGAAAAACGGAGGAGAAAGCCTTCGGTTGTGCGGTGACTATAAGGTGACCATCAACCCGGTTCTCAAGATGGATCACTACCCGTTGCCACATCCAGAGGACATCTTCAGCACGTTGGTCGGGGGGAGAGTGTTCTGCGTTCTCGACCTGTCGTCAGCGTACCAGCAAATCAAGCTCAGCGACACGTCGAAACACCTGCTGGCCATCAATACACACCTGGGACTGTTTGAGTACCAGCGACTTCCTTTTGGAGTAGCAAGCGCACCTGCCATTTTTCAATCGTTGATGGACCGTGTCCTGCAAGGAATTGCACAGACGTGTTGTTACATCGATGACATCATCATCGCTGGCAGAGATATGGCAGAGTGCAGCAAAATCCTGGACACTGTTCTACAAAGACTGTCCGAGTCTAACTTGACCCTCAGAAAGGAGAAGTGCAAGTTTTTTGCGGACTCAG